CTTTTTTTTTTTTTTTATCATTTTTAGCCATGTGGGATGAAACATTTCAAATATTTTTCTTTCTTATAATCTTAAACAGACTAAATTGAACAAAAAAAAATACTTTGATGGCTCTGGGCCATCAGTATGAATATGTATCACTAAACTATAACATGGTTAAGGGACTACAGGATTGGCAGGGGCCTGTTCGGAGTCCGAGGGCTCTGTCTGCCCTGGGGCTTCTCCGGGCCCCCCGCCCCCCTGTCAGGCTGTCCGTGCAGCTGTGCCAGTGCTTGTCTGCATGAGGCTTCTCTTTGTGTAATGTTTGCTTTTAATTTGGTGTTTTCTTCTAAAGCAGATATCCTGAGAACTGTGTGCAAAGTTAAGAGTACATAGAATCTGAGTGATGGACCAGGAGATGTCCTGGGCACAATATGCTTTATTATGTGAGTTTTGTAATATTAATTTTGGCTGCTCAGAATTAAATTTATTATTTCCAGAATCTTAACAATGTTCCAGATTTTTAAGATAGCTGAACTCTAAACAGCTGAAGTGTTGAATGGTTACACTGAAATATATACAAACACACATGCATTTTTAATTATGATTGTAATTTATACTCTCTGGACGACTAAAAAAATATAAACCATATAAAAAAATAAAAATCACTCACAAGCCTATTTATTACCCATCAAATAATCACTATTAATTCTGGATATTTTCCTTTCAGCCTTTGATTTTCTATATGTGTGTTTAATTAAAAAAACAAAAACAAGCCTATCATTGTGTTTGTGGTATATATACACATTTCTGTATCTTGCTGTTGGATGTTATGAAAACCTTTGGGTAAATAGTTCTAAATGGCTGTTCCATTATGAATGGAATATAATAATTTACTTAATCATTCCCTTATTTCTGTAGATTTAGGATATTTCTAAAAGTTTACTATTGAAAAGTAAGCTGCTGTGACATCTCTGTATAAAAAATACAGTGAATAGATATTTAATAAAACAATTCTGATTTTCATATATGTTTCCAGAAGGAACCTTCATTAAAAACATTTTAGGCCTCTCTTGTCCCCTCCAGGCATAAGCCAGGAGCTCTATTCTCTCACCTTATTTCTAAATAAAAGCCTGTACCTTGCTCTCCTACCTTGAGGGTTTGTGCACCACTGCAAGGTAGGAGATCCACGCTTTGCTCTTATTCCTGACTAAATGCTGTACTTTTTATCTCATAAAAATGTGTATGGGCACCCATTAGCCCTCGAAAAATCCTCAACTGCCTATAAAACCCCTAGACAACGCACCCTAAGGGTTCTCTTGTCCCCTCCTGGCGTGAGCCAGGAGCTCTATTCTCTCACTTTATTTCTAAATAAAAGCCTGTACCTTGCTCTCCTAAAAAACAAAAGAAAACAAGAAACATTTTAGTATAAGCTAAATTCTTACAAGAAAAAAGGAGCATTTTATTTATATTCTATTGCCTAAAAAAGAGAGAGGTAGCAATTAAAAAGGTAAATGATAGATCAAAAAATAATGTTCAGAAGGTTTCAAGATTGTTTCCTTTGATTGCAGTCTGGCTTCATGACTATTTCATCTAGATGGAAAAAGAGGTTGAAATGCATAGATTTTCTAATTATATGACCAGTTTTTAAAGGCTGTTGACAATTGACCTATTAAATACATTTGGGGCGCAGAGCCTAAAGTTTAGCAAGTGACCAAGACCCCCAGTTCAGTGCACACATTCTCCTCATCAGCCATCTGCCTTGAGTGGCTGTGTCTTTCAGCTTGGTTTAGGTCCAAACTGGAATCCTGAAAACATGACATCTGGGGTTTAATGCTGCAATTAGAAGGAATTATTTAAGAACAACAACCCAAAGATATTGTAATTGCAAATTTACCAGGCCACAGTCTAGTGAAAAACAGAATACGTTGTGGACTAACTGAATCACACTGGGGAGCACTGGGGAGAAAGTGAAAAAGGATATCTTAGAGTCACAAACAAGAGCATCATGAGGGGGAAGTCAAGTGATTTAGAGGTCAAGAAGGACAGTCTGGTTTAAATTTGGCTCCTCTGTATCAAGTCTTCTCTGATCTTTCTAAACTGAGGTGATTAATTTCTTTCTCATTCTGTGAGCCCTTATTTATTGCAGTCAATTAC